TATATATCTTTATGTTACCATTTATCACTCAAAATGTTAAATTTGTTAGTCTCAACATGCTGTTTAAATGTCTCTTACTGGAGACAGTAATGAAGGCCAATTTTCTGTTTTCATTATTTTGGAATGCCTCAAAGGACATTCTGCATTGTTGATACTCCTTGTTTTTGGCTGTCATGACACACATGCCTTAAGTTTCTTAGTAAATGTTGCTTATTACATTTCCTCTGTCTCTTGCAAAAATGTCAATGTTCCTCTAAATAATATTGGCTACCATTTTTGTGCCCCTGTCTCCCATGCTCATTTATCACTGAAGCACTTTTAAACCCCAAATCTGTACACCTAGTTTATAATTTTTGTATGGAAACCAGATATATATATTCAGTTGGTTGTCAAAATTTCACACTTTAGGAAAGCTACAGCATTCTAAAACCCAATTTATTTAAAATGTTGATTCTATTCCTCTACCATCTCCTCAGATTGCTTATTTCCAGATTATAAACTAATTATGAAAAGTCTTATGAAGGATTTCAAAAGTGGCCTCATATTATAACTTCAAATATAAGACATGTGTTTCCCTTGCACATTTCAGACCCCAGCTAAATAGAGCCAGTTGCCATCAATGTTGGTGCATGACCACATATTGTACAATTTGTGTGAAATGTCCAGAATAGACAACTCCAAAGAAACATATAAATGCTTGCCAAGGAAAAGGATATGGAAGGTTTGAGATTGACTGCTATTAGTTTTTATGGTTCCATTTGAGGTGTTGGAAATGGTTTGGAATGATGGTGATATTTGCATTGTGAATATACTACAATGCATTTAGCAATGCACCTTAAATCATTGAATTTTATGTTATGTGAAAAAAAAAATATATATATATATATCTCAAATGCTCAGCAAACTGTTAATGAAGGAAAAGGTGGAAAGTCCTGCTCTAGCTGATACCAAGGTATACCACAAGGTCACATTTTAGCAGGTTTGTGACAGAGGCAAATAGTGAAGTGGAAAATATGAAGTCTAGAAACTGAGCCAAACATCAATGGACACTTCATTTATGCCAAAACTGTCATTGCAGAACAGCGAGAAAAGTATTATATTTTCAATAAATTTTGGGTCTATTTGGAAAATAATGAAATTTTATTTCAACTCAAGGGAAGAACATTGATACTGGTAGATAATTGTATTAGATGTAAGAAGCAAAAAAAATCATCACATAATAAAACTTTTAGAATAAGATAAAGAAAAAACAACATAAAACAACTTACTGCCTTTAACAAAAGGCAGTAAGTGACAGGAAAACTATGAAGTGGGAAGTATATTTCCACCCTTTGTAATCAGTACAGTGCTGATAGCTAGATTTTATAAAGGACCTCTACAAATAAATAAACAGATTACCCACAGAAAATTGGTAGAAAACTTAAAAATTATCTTCTCAAAACTCTCAAAGTCATTTATATATGACTGGTACCTGAAATATACATTAAAACTCATTAACCCAGGAAACACAAATTGAAAGAATAGTAATACTCCTCTATGCCATAAACCGATGACTAAAATTGAGTAAAATAGTTTCTGGTGAAGTTGTACATCAGCAGCAACTATCATATGCTATTTTCAGTAGCTGTTAAAGCAGAAAATAAGCACATTTACTGACCAAGAAATTTATTTCTGAAAAAATCCTAACAGAAATATATGTACATATGTTAAAAAGAAAGCTCAAGGGCCTCCCCGGTGGCGCAGGGTTGAGCACTGGGTCGCGAAGCTGCCCGCAGCCTCTGCAGCATCGGTTTGATCCCCAGCTGCTCCCCGGCCACTGGAAGAGGGTCCCACCTCTCCTGCCGCCCGCTGCTCCCCTCAGCAGTGTACTTCGGTCCTTCTGCCTGCTCTGCTCCCCGCTCTGGCTCTGGTGAATTCTCTCACCCTCCTATGCTTCTGACCGTACCCAGTGCATGTATAAATAAATAAATAAATAAATAAATCTTAAAAAAAAAAAAAAGGAAGAAAGCTCAACTAGAATTATCCATAATAACCCTAAAATAGAAAACATTAAATATATTTGCCAATAGTGTTTTGAATGTATAAATTGTGAACTATTCACCCAATAATGAATAAATAATGAAAGTGACCAAAAATTTAAAGGAAAAAGACATATGAATCTCACAAACATGGTGTTAATGAAAGAATCTAGACATTGGAAAATGTTTCAAATTATATATGTTGAAAATTAAGACAAAATAAAAAAAAGTACCATAAACAAAAAATTCTGGAAAGATAAATATGTTTGCTGTTATTATTAGATACATGCAATATATTCAATGACACAGGTTCAAAGGGCAATCCTTCTCTGGCAATGCATAGGCAATGTGTAATGCAAAATTATGATCTGCAACATTATATGCATCTGCATTGTCTGAGGTAATTTATATTTTTATTTTTATCTGTTCTTTAGTGTAACCTGGAAGAAGAATCCAATGGGTTCAAACTGTGTGTATATACAATATATATTTGACCCTGGAATGATATGGGGTAGACTTGCCTGGCTCCACTTATTTGCAGATTTTTTTTGATAAATATATCAGAAAAATTTTTTGAGATATGTGCCAATCTGAAAATTTCAGATTGACCTAGAAAATTAAAAAAAAAAAATTAAGACAGGTATACTGTTATTGCATAAAACATATGTACATAATATTTGATCATTTACTACCACAAAATACATGAGTCTAGCATGAAAAGTTAAAATTCATCAGAATGCATGTGCGCACATACTTGCAGACCATACATGGTGCAATTCACTGTCAAAATAAATAAAAACAAAAGTAATGGTGCAGGTTTAAATCAATACCAAAACTACAGTACTAAAAAAGTATGATATTGACACAAAAATAAATGCACTATTCAACAGGACAGAATCAAAAGCCCCCAAATAAATCATGTACATATCAGTACCTAATCTATGATAAAGCATCAATGACCATACAATGGGGACAGGACAGTCTTTTTACTAAGTGGTGCTGGGAATATTGGAAACCACATGCAAAAGATATCTAACTTTATATACAGAAATAAACTCCAAATGGATAAAAGGTTTAGATAGAAGGCCTATTACAATAAAATATGTAAAAGTATTTTAGACAACTTTAATCTTATAGCAAAGGAAACCAAAAAAAAAATAGTGATTGCTTCAAGTTAAAAAAAAAACCAAAAAAACAACTTTTATTCATTAAAAGAAAATACAACTTTTGAAACTCCAGACTGAATGGGACAAAAATCATAATGTATAAAATTCACCTTAGTATATACTTTACTATTGTAATAATTTTGTAGCCACCTCTTGTTGCTGTTATGGTGAACTCAGGTATTGAAAGTATTCTTCTCAAACACCATGTGTCACTAATCACCTGCAGGTGAACAGTTCCTCTCTCCAGGAAATTGCAAAACTATTATCTCATAGAGAGCCAGAAGTTATACTCCTAATTTTGACTCTGTACCCCTAAACTCCCTCATTGTTCAGCGGCCAGTGGTCCATCATACAAATTGATGGAGGAAGCTTTGTGCATCTATGTGTTAATCATGTTCTAGTTCTTCCTCTGAATGGTGATTATGTGAGCATTCAGTTTGTCATATTTTTTTAAGCTCTGTCCACTTGTGGTTTTCCAGGTTTCTTCTGTAACTTATAAGTCATAGCAAAGAAATAACTTACAATATGAGAAGAAAAATTATACCAGACATTGTGGATTTCATGAGCAGAACTAAAAATCCAGAGATTTCTAGGTGATAGTCCACCAACCCCACACCTTTGAAGTCTGGTTAAATTCAAAGAGCACCCTCATAAAACAGAATATTGCTTGCTCTTCACTAGCGAGCTGCTGGTCTTCTCAAATGACTCTAGGTCCAAGATAAGGAATTTTACAAACTTGTGGAACAGCATTATGGTAATAATGCTGACAAGAGCACCTAATTTAAATTTCCTGATAATGAAATGCAGACACAGGTTTCCATAGACAGAATCACAAGCACATTGTATTAACTCCTTTTTACATTTGTTGTATTATTTGTTCTCCTTCAAAGAAAGCTATGTGTTTCAATACCTGCGCAATATGTAATTTCAAACTTGATTCCCAAGGCAAAAGGAAAAGGCAATCGTCAAATGTTTAAAAAAAGTCCTTTATTTTATAGCAATAATGGTTAGAAGTTCAATATTTCTGCTCAAACAGAGAGGCAGGCAGGCATATTTACACAAGGCGTCACCATGTTTGCCGTTGCCTTTACACAAGACAACATTTGTAAAACCTTTGCATCCCATGTCATGTCTTCTCTTGGGGATTTATGCTCCAGATAATGCCTTTCATTTGATCTTCAAACACCTTTAAAAAACAGAGACTGCATTTTAATATAATTTGGAAATTAAAACTCTTTTTTTCCATTATAATACCTGCCATGGACTTATATTTAAAAATGAACCAAAGCCAAACGAATTGCTGTTTTATAACCAAGAAAGGCAGGGAAATGGTAAAACACTTTTATAATGAAGCTTTGGTCTATCTCTCCCATAAGAAAATTAAATGTATATAATAAATATTAGAGATTTTCAAGCACATTTAATAATTAAATCTTATACCTAATAATTTTAGTAATTATTCTTTTTTCTTTTGAGAATTCAGAAAATTGTCCTTACCTGAATAATTAGAAACATATTTTCAGGGACTAAACTATATTTCCTTTCTTCATTTTCATGGTAAAATATGAGATAAAGTAGATACTTTCAGTGAAATGCATATTTTCACCTAGGAAAGGATTTTCTGAAGTATTTTTATAAATCTGCAGTACTTGTAAATGTAAAAATGTAGAATTATAAAATTGTAGTGTGTGTGTGTGTGTGTGTGTATATATATATATATATATATATATATATATAATTGAATATATAATTGAAACTAAAACATCCTGTTCTCTCTCCCTCTCCCTCTCCCAACCACTTTCCAAACCACTAATAGGCTTGGACTCCTGGATCATTCGGTGACTTCAAAAATCTGGTAAGACAATTTTTTTGTATTACTATCATTATTTTTATTTCATTTGCCATGAATCAGTAGAGAATGTTTTTCTATCACAAGCTTAATCCCTTTTCTTAAAAAAAAAAAAAAAAAAAAAAACCCTTCCTTGATTCCATCCCCTGAGGTTGAATCTCAGAAAGCCAGGAAAAGGTCAATTACATCTTAACCCATGTGGGATAATATGATAAGTCAGATACTTCTAGAAGATTCAACATCTGGGTCAGGAGAATATTTCAAAGATGAGTTTCTAAAAAAAATAAATAAGTAAACAACAGTCACCACCAAAAGAATCTGAAATAGCAAAGAGGATTATGTAGATAAGATGCAGAGTGTATCAATTTGAACATTTTTCTTTTCAAATAGATGAAATACAACAAGAAGAAAAATACTACAGAGGAGCTGAGTATGATGACTGTATTTTTAGGAAATTTTTCATTGCTACTGTGTTGATATTATAGGTTAAAGAGTATGAAACTAGAAAAACACTGGAGATGCTGCTATTTTCCTCAAGGAAACTTAAAATTCTTATGGTATTTGTCTAGCACATAAGGTTATAGGCAGGGAAAGATATAATGTTTAATTAAAAAGATGGCTATTTGAAGTCATTCTTTTCTATCAAACTGGTTTTCCAAAGAAGAGCTTTGTAATTTTCTTAGAGTTGGTGACTTTTTTTTTTTTTATTTCATTTGTTTTCTTACATTGTTCTTTCTGCTTGGTGCTTTTATTTTCCCAAATGCTATTGAAATACCACTTTCAAATTCATGTATCAGGATCCTACCATATTCTGAATTTATATGAGATTATAAAAGCTACTTTGTCTCAGATTTTATATAATTCTCTGCAGAATGTTCTAGCTTATATTCTTATTCTTGTGTAATATGGGAATCACCAACTCGTCCAGTTTCTAGCATTGCCCTTTTTAAAATGAGCCAAGAATAACTTGTGAACTACCCTTCCCAATGGTCTTCACTAATAACTGGAGTTTACTGGGTTGGAATGGGAGGGTGATGATGCTGTGCGTTAGCTCTTGCTCTCAAATGCTTCTCAGGGTTTCTCATTAAAATCTTCTGATCATCTTACCATGACTTTCCTGTGCTGCTTGACACCATCCATTCTACACCTCTTGGCAAATAGTAATAAATGTGATAGTAAACTATACAGCAAGTATTGCTGAAGATTTGATGTTAAGATAACAGGTTGCTGCACATAAAAGGAAAACTCAAGTGCCTACAGCCCCTGAAGTCCTTGGACCATGTTTTCCCAAAAGAGTTTGCCCTCTCAGGCCCTGTCCTCAATGCCAACACACCACTGTATTGCTGGGGTTTGCATTTCGCCTAGCTGAATCCTCCTTGGCATTTTTTTATCTCAGAATCCAGTGAGTTAAAAGAAGAAAAAGTTAACAAAGTGATCTGTCAGCATTTTATCCAGCCCACAAATAAGCCCGCTTTCTTTATTGTGCAGAGAGCAATTTCATCCTTTTACTAGCTGCAGGCCGGCCCTTTTTTTTTTTTTAAGATTTATTTACTTATTTATACAAGCACTGGGTACAGTCAGAAGCACGGGAGGGTGACAGAATTCACCAGATGATGAATGGGGAGCAGAACAGAGAGACTGACGAAGTACACTGCTGAAGGGAGCAGTGGGTGCGGCAGGAGAGGTCTGCACACCATGTGGGACCCTCGCAGGCAGCCAGGGATCAAACTGGTGCTGCAGAGGCTGTAGGCAGCATTGCAGCCCAGTGTTCAACCACTGCGCCACTGGAGAGGCCCATCAGGCAGTCCTTTTGGATAGGTGTAGATAGAAATTTCTCCCAAAGAAACACCTACTCACAGTGATACAAGCCAGTGTTCCAAACTTAGCCATGCATAGGGTCAACCCAAACTTGAATTTTGTATGTTTTAAATAATTTTTGAAATATGTAATCAAATTGTCAGCTGTTGTCCATTCGTGTGATGAGGATGGTGGTAACTTCCCATCCCCTCATCTTGCTCTGTGAGGAAGCAGGACTTTACAAATTAATCTTTGAGAGGCACCATCATGAATCAATGTTTCAAGACAAAAATAGCTGTAGGAATGTCTCAGTGTAATGGTAGTAAATGGGATATCTTATATCAAAAAATCTTTTGCTGTATTTCAGGTTATTTGGCAATATGATCTGATTGGAAAACCATGTATATATTTATTTGGCCAAGAGTTCTTAAAAAAAAAAAAAGATTTGATTTATTTTCGTGTAAAAGAGCTGGGGCTTAGGCCAGAGGTGCAGTGGGAGAGAGGATTCACTAGAGACAGAGTGGGGAGCAGAACAGGCAAATTTATTGAACTACACTGCTGAGAGGAGCAGCAGGTGAGAAAGGAGAGGTCTGTTGTGCCATGAGGGTTAGCTCCTGGTCAGGAATCAAACTCGGTCTATCTTGGTGATACTGTTTAGACTTAACCTCTAGACCATCAAGCAGAAGACCCTTGAGCAATAATGTGAGAAAAAAAACAATGCTCAAAGTATTTATTGGGGGGAAGGACAGATTTATTGGGGTCTGACAATGCAAATTTTGTCTCCCTTTTTCATCATAACAAGTTTCCTGGACTTTTTATTTACTGAAAACCTTTTTGTAATTGCATTAGTGGAATCTGGATATTCCTCCTATATTATATTTCCTTGAATTCTGCCTTCATTCTTCATTTAATTTTCAATGTGTTCTAATTCTGATCATCATAACTTTCTTCTGAGTCATCTCTCAATTTATTTCATTTTTCTAATCCATATTTAAGATTTATTTATTTATTTATACAAGAACTGGGGTGCAGACCAGATTCGCAGGAGGGTGAGAGGATTCACCAGAGACAGAGTGGGGAATAGAACAGGCAGACTGATGAAATACACAGCTGAGGGGAGCGGTGGGCATGACAGGAGAGGTCTGCCGCGCCATGTGGGAACCTCCCCAGCTGGCCGGGATCCCACTGGCGCTGCAGAGGCTGCTGACAGCCTCACAGCACAGTGCTCAACTGCCTGCGCCACCAGGAGAGACCCTCCAATCCATTTTTATATAATGAACATATCAGTAATTCTCAAAGAAAACATTCTTATACATCCTAACACATTTTCTGTAAGTTTGTTTTTTCCGATCTAATGTATAATTTTCAATCAATTAGTGCCACTCCTAATCAAGAGCAATCGTCCTTCCACACAGACTGAGAGACTAAAACCTATTCAGATTGCTCTGCTCTTCCCGTTAGAGAATCCAGCATCTTTTTTTTTTTTTTTTTGATTTTGTGAATGGCAAGATCTTCTTTACCTGTCCACACACCATTTCTGTCCATCCCTCAAAGCCAAGTTAAACACTCATTTTTTCCTGGAAGTTATTATTGTTTTAATAATTGTATTTTGCTTCCCCTTCTTCCTGAAATCTTTATTTTTAGGATCACAAATTTTAGCATTTTACCTTATACTGTCATATGCTATAAGTTTCTTGTGTCCTTATTTTCTTCTAAGAAATTTTGCAAGTTAATGAAAAGAGTTCTATCCACTGGACTCATCCAATGATTTTCAAAGGAAACATTGATATAGAGGACAATTTATAGTATTACTTCATACAAATTCTGAATTTTATGACAAACACTGAAAACTGTATTATTTTTGAAAGTGGAATTTGGGGAATAAATGTAAAGTTCAGACCACAATAGTATTAAAATATAAATGATAACATGCAGACTATTACAAAGTAAGTACATTAAAATATTCTCTATTCAGTTATATAACTCTCAAGCTAAAAATGTGATATTTATTCTTGAGCTGAATGCCAGCAATAAAAATTCACTTAAGTATGAAGAGCTCACATTGCTCACATTGAAGCTGGAAATATTTACAGAGAAACTTATTGAAGCATATTTCCACTTATATAAGATGATGTGTTTAATGCTTATGATTCACTGAATTTTGTGTCTGTGTATGCAATTGCAGTAATTATTTCCAATTCATATATTTTTTTTTTTATTTCTGCACCTGTGTTAAGGCAGCAGGGGCAACCCCAGGGAAAACAAGGATCACTTGGATGTGATTCCCTTCCCCACATTCACTTAAAAGCTGGGGACAAGACTCAAGGAAGATGCACACAGAGAAATAAAACAAAAAGCTTATATACAAGGAAATCAGGAAGAGGGAGAATAGGGAGAGAGACAAAGATTGATTGGCCAACACCTCTTACCAGGAACAGTAAGCTGAGACAAAAAGCTCAGTGTTTTGAAAAGCACAGAAACTCGAGCACACATGTGTTTAGGTTTTGAGCTAAGCATACCTTCTCAACAATGCCCCGAGCTTCAGCAGCTCCCATTCAGGAAGTCAAGTTCATGGCATGCTGTGTTTTGTAGTCATTGGTGCCTGATCCCTTCAGATTGGAAATGGGGTGGGTGTAGAGACCATAGAGTCATGGGCTAGGGTTCATTCCTGAGGTCATTCACTGGCTCAGAGTTTTTCTCCTTACTGTACCTCTGTCATCTGGAATGTGGACTTTTTAATAGGTCAAAATAACAACATGTGCACAATGATGTACAGTTGAAGGAATTCATACTATGCTAGTCCTTTCCCTATTGCATTTCAAACTTACAATAACACCTTAAAGTGTATATATTTGGTCACAGTTTTAGAGAAGAGGAAACTAGTATTCACAGAAGTTGATTAGTTCTTCTATGGTCTCTGAGTTAGAGATGATGTAGTTAATAATTATATATAGTTAATTATCATTGGACTCCAAAAACTTCACCTAGTTGCTTTCTCCCAAAAAACTTAGCCCTTTAACATTTTTAACAGAAAAACAAACAAACAAACATAGAGATGTTTAATAATAACGTGTGTCTCTTTGTACATGCAAGAGGTCCAGCATGACTAACTCACACACATGGCTCTAAATGCCATCTTAAATAGCTTAAATGGACAGGAGATGTTGGGAGGAAAGAGAAATTCAGTTGGAGCATTTACTGAAAACAAA